ACACTGTCGACCCAGGTGAGATTGTTTCCCTGGACGTTACAACAATATTTGACGCAGATTTCAACATGTGCAATACTGCGGAACAATTGCAGGGACTAATCAACCGTTATACGGGGGAGGGGAGAACACTCATCACCACTGTCGGCCGTGCTAATATTCCTGCGGAAAGCGATGCATGCCGGCGCCACATTGATAAATCGATTGACTGAATTCTCATCCGAGGTCATGGACACTTTTATCTCTGACGATGAACGCCCGCCAGTGTCCGAAGGCTCAGACCAGGAGTCGGCAACCTTTTTGACTCAGAGAGCCAAGAAAGCAAATATTTAGAAAGATATTTCACTGAGAGCCATGTAATATATTTTAAGATTAAATTCAATTAAATGTGAGTATAATAAGTCTCTGGATTTATTCTTTTAAATCATGTTCTTATAATACTCATTGTTAATGACACTTCTGGTGCTGCATGCATTCGCTGATGGCTCTGTAGTCTGTTTGGTAGTTGATGAGGTTAAGCGTTATGCAAGCGTTGAGGCTTTCATCAGTTAGACGTGATCGTAGGGTAGACTTGATGTATTTACGATGTGAGAATGACTGCTCACATGCATACGTAGATCCATACGGCCCATTCGTCCTGAAATGTACGATACTCCTCATCTGTTTTTTCTTTTTGCCAGCTTCTTTGTTGCAGGGGTTAACTTTGGGTAAATGAGAGAGGGAGGGAGTGTAACGGTCAAGGATGTGCGTTCTACTATAACCACTACACTAAGAGCATTCCGTCTGATGAAAGAAAGCAGTCAGATTTAAGGAGCGATTTATTAGTACACAAAGCAAGTTTCCGCCAATGGACTGTTTACTTGCGTGTGATAAATGCGTCCGTCTGGGGGACACAAACACAAGAGACTAGAGGCGTAAGATAGCCTTGCCTGCCAGCGTGACCTTGACTAAGCTGAAGTCACGTCTGGGAGCTGTCGTGCTTTAGTAGAGCGTCTGTTATTTAGCGAGCTTGTCGCGGCCGTTGGGACACAGAAGGAAAGGGAAGCAGCTGCTGTCGGCTAGCCGGAAAGGGAATACTGAAACAACTGCTAGATCAAACCTAGGGGGCCGAGGCACCAGAGATTGGTCAAGATTAAATTGATTCTAATACACGTCTCGGCGGTGGCACCTCCTTGGATGAACCAAAATCACAAAATCTGAAGTTTCTAATTCCAATTTTATCTGAGAGAGCCAGACGCAATCATCAAAAGAGCCACATCTGGCTCGCAAGCCATAGGTTGCCGACCCCGGGCTCAGACTAATAAACAAATTGATCCGATGCTCGACAACCCTTCTTCCTCATTTAGACAGACAATCTCACCGGCAGCGACGATGTTCCGATTACCCCCTAGTTAGCTACCTTGCCAGTAGAAATGGTTGCGGGCGTGTGTGTCAGCTGCCTTCAGTAGTGTTTCTCATTAGCGCTTTTCATGATCAAGGCTTGCAACTGGACATTTAGTTATACCAAATCCCTTAAAGTGATGGTCTCGCTGTTTGAATTGTTTTCTTCTCCTTCGGCATAGTCTGTTTTAACCAAAATGCTGATACTGATTTTCGTTTCGAAGAGCTTACTTGAGTATAATTGAAAGATATTAATTATACCCCACCAATTTCGGTCATGTCGGGGTTCCCCTCTTCGAACGGCCTTCTTTTTGGCCGCCTGAAAAAAAAACTAAACTGTATAAACTGACTACTTAAGTAGGCTGTACTTTTTTCCACTCGGTCTTCGATTTCATTATAAATTCGAACAGAAAATGTGTTCCTTACGTGCCTGGTGTTATACCTGGATATAATATTGCTTTGGTTTTGTAGGCCGAACGCCGGCGTACAGCAGTGGCGGCCAATTCAAAGAAAACGAGCTCGGCTGTAACTTCCCGTGCACACCACTCAGACGACTCCGAGGATAGTGACAGTGACGGTGATGAAGACGCCGATTCGGACGAGAGTGTGACTGCCCTAACCGTAGCAACTGATGATGAGGAGGAGGCAGAAGATAGGCAACGTACCACCAATTCACAACTGACCTCTTCTTCCTCGTCCTCCGGCGAGGACGATGACGATGGTCCTCCACTGAAGCGCCGCAAGGAGTTAACCTCCGCATCCACCACAGGGCCCCGAAAACGCCCAAATTCTAGTAGTTCAAGTGGAACTCGTCGCTCGGGCACTTCGGCAAAACGATCCGCCGCTAGTAAGGAAACTACCGGTGCACCGGGTAGGAGGTCCAACAATAGAGGCGGAAACGTGACAACGTCGTCGAAAACCTCCGCTGACGATGATGATGATGATGATGGCGAGGAGGATAATGAGGAGGGGCGATCGAGTGACGAGGA